CCCTTCGCGGGCCCTGAGTCCCTGGTCCACTTCTCCTTCAGTGACGAGGACACCTGTTGGCACTCTCCGGGCAGATCCGTCAGGTGGGTGGCCCGCGGCCAGTCCCCTCCTTTCCCACCAGAGGGCTCTGGATGCGTTGGTGGGGGTGCCCAGGCTGCCGTCGGGAGTCTCCAAAGTGGTTTGCAGAGTCTGCCGGAGCTCCCGCCCCTTTCCCTGTTTCTAAACGTCTGGGTGCCTCCGAGGGCTTCCTGCAGGTGGTGGCTCTGAAAATAGGTGCTGGGTCCTGCCCCCTTTCTGCCCACTCCAGATGGGATCCCTTCACCCTCTTTGTGCCCCTAAACCTGGACCTTTGGCACTCACCCTGGCAGCCAGTATGCGTGTCCAGCGTCACCTGGGCTCCACTCCCAGGCCGTGGGCCTCCAGCCAGGTCCCTCAGGCCTTACCCTTCCTCCCTCCTTGCTGGGGCTGCCAGGCTGAAAGCCAGGCGGGTGGGTGTGGGAGGAGCTGCCTGCGGGAACTCCTGGAGGGCAGTGAGAAGCTACTGGACAGGGGCGGAGGAGCAGCTTGTAAATTCTCAGAATTCTTGGGGTACTCCAGCAATGTTCTTGCTCCCCTCCAGCACCCCCTTCAGATACCTGGACACATGCATGCTCCCCAACAAGGCACATACAGTCCACATACACAGCCATACATGACATAAACAGCACACCCACACACAGGGCAATCGGGGTTGACCCATGGCCACGGTGACACACAGACCACAGAAACTCTGGCCTTTTAAACCTTGTATAGACTACACTGCTTGCAGGAACACACTCTCACTGCAACACATACCCAGGCCTGACTCCCACCTGCACATGGCCACACACAGGAGCACACCTCATACCCCTCAGGAGTCAGGCACAGTCTCGGCACATGTGCACCGCACACGGGTACACCCTCCCAGACCCACAGGACTCGGAGACACACAGACCCACACAAGCGCTGTGAACACCCAGACCCCACTCACACACACAGATGTGTAAATCCACACGGACAACCTACATGCACACGGATGCCCCTGAGCACCCCCTCTGACTCACACATGCACAGACCCTCCTCCTACACTTAACCCCACTAACAACTGTGTCACTGGCACCACGCGCCTGCCTGGCAGATACACACCAGCACCCGCCCTTAACCTCCATGTGACCTTCACAAAGCAAATGCCAGGTCCTTCCATAAAGGCTGCCTGGCACCTCCGACAAGGGTGTCAGTTGGCGTGGGGCAGAGCCTGGGGAGCTGCCAGGCTGCCTGGGGGGGAGACAGACACCCAGTGATTTAGCGTGCTTTGTAGCTTTGAGCCTGGCTCCCCGGGTTCGAATCCTTGCTCTATCACTAGTCACGTTATTCATCCTCTCTGTGTCTCAGTTTCTCTCTCTCTCTCCGGAAAATGGGGATGCGTTTGTGTCCAGGCAAAGCACAATGCTGGAGCATGTGGCATTCCAGAGCAGCTGGCTACTGTCATTGTTGTTATGATTTTTACCAACTGGGATATGTCCCCTCTCATTGCCACAGGCCTACCCTCACCCCAGCTTGTTTGCTTCCCATTGGCTCCTGCAGCAGGACTTTCTGATCTGCCCCTGGACTGCACAGTCCTCCAGAGGCCCAATTTGATGTTCAAAAGCCCAGGGGGACAGGACTAGAGGCCCCAGAGGGGTGGAAGCAGGTAGCCACTTCACCTGAGAATGCCACCAAGCGGTCAGCCTATCCCAGGGGGAGCCTTGGGCAGGTCATTTCCCTTCTGATGGAGTGTCTGGGCACGTGGCTGTGATGTCAGGGCCTGTTGGCTGTCCTTGACAACACTAGTCTGTGTCTTTGGGCCGCATTGGGACATCTCCAGTGCAGCCTCTAGCCTGATTCTGGGTCACCCTGATCAGTAGCAGGCCAGGGAGGGGTGACTCCCCACAGCCTGGGGGTCCAATTCTGGGGAGTAGCTGAGACCCCCTTATTCGCAGGCTGCAGTTCAACAGGCCTAATCTCCTATATGCCCTTCTGCAGCCTCGGGGACATCGCTCCTGGAAGCACAAACAGTGGGGCCCCAGGGAGCATCTTCCCATGCCTGCCTCTGGGCTCCTGCTTGCAGTGAGTCGAGTCCCCTGGGGCTGCCGTATCTACCGGAGATGCTAGTTGGTTGCCCTCTGGGGCTTGGGTCTCACCTTCCCTAAACAGCACTTCAGTTCCTGGGGCAGGGGAGGGGTCCTCTCTACATAGGAATGCTATGCCCCCCTTCACAGTGGCACTCAGCAGAGTCAGAAAATCCAGGCTGGGCCTTGGGAGACAGGACATGACTCTCAGGTAATGAGGCTATCAATCCCTCGCCACCCCTCTGTGCCTGTCTTTTCATTGAACCAGGAGGTAAACAGAATCCAAATCATGGCGTTGGTAGGAGACATACTGGGTTCATGTATATAAAGCACTCAATGCCACAGCAAGTACTCAGTGTCTTGTTATTATCACTATACACCTAAAAGGATTTAACCTGGGACCCAGTACACAGCAGGTGCTCAAATAGTGAGCATTATCATCAGAGGCTCAAGCTCATGATTAGGTATTCCATCTTAAGAATGTGTTTTTTTTTTTAAAAGATGAACACATATTAAATTAACCCTTTTTATATACATCTTCATGAAGTTCTTTTGCAAATTGTTTTTTAAAAATATATTTTATTAATTTTTTTACAGAGAGGAAGGAAGAGGGATAGAGAGTTAGAAACATTGATGAGAGAGAAACATCGATCAGCTGCCTCCTGCACACCCCCCCACTGGGGATGTGCCCGAAACCAAGGTACATGCCCTTGACCAGAATCGAACCTGGGACCCTTGAGTCCGCAGGCTGATGCTCTATCCACTGAGCCAAACCGGTTACGGCTCGCAAATTGTTTTTTATTTATTTACTAGAGGCTACTGATCAGGGTGACCCGAATTCGTGTATGGGTGGGGTCCCTTGGCCTGGCCTGTGATTGAGGCCTATGGGGGAGGGTCCAGCAGGTGCGGGGTAGCCGGGGAGAGACCATGGGGGTTTGGCTGTGGGAGCACACTGACCACCAGGGGGCAGCTCCTGCATTGAGCATCTGCCCCCTGTTGGTCAGTGAGCATCATAGCACTGGTCGACCAGTCATTCAGGTTGTTTGGCGGTAACGGTTGCTTAGGCTTTTATATAGAGAGACTTATATTAAAATTTTTTAATGTTGACATTATTGTGGGTGTCTCCCTTTTTCCCCTCTTT